GGGCCGCGCGCGTCCAGCGGGTAGTTGGCGCTGTCGCCGCGGCGCAGCGGCGTGCGGTGCCGCTCGAGCGCAGGGTAGCGCACGCCGGGGTCGCTGTACTGCTTCGCGTGCTGCCACTGCTTGCGCAGGTGCGCGCGGGAGCGGTGCTTGGCCCCGCGCGGCGGCGACTCGTCGAACTGCGGGTCGTGGCGCACGAAGGCGGCAAACAGCGCGTCCGTCTTCTCGTCGATGCTGTAGTCCCGCCGCCGCGGCGGCGCCTCCCGCCCCGACAGCATCTGCCCGTAGGGGCACCAGGCCAGGGGGCTGGGGGGCAGCGGCGCGGGCCCCCCACCCGCCGCGCCGCCCTCCTCCTCCTCCTCCTCCTCCTCATCCTCGTCGCCCGGCTCGCGGCCCTCGAAGCTCTCGAAGATGGTGCCCTTCCTGCCCGCACTTGTGAAGCAGATGCGCTTCTCGGAGGCCGTCTGGTCCTTGAGCGGTCCCTCGTCGCCCACCCGCGCCGGTGCCTCGATGGACGCGTAGCCACTGTCCATCTGCAGCAGTTTGCGTGTGCCAGGCTCCGAGTCAGGCTCAGGCTTGGGCCGGTCCCAGGGCTTCTCGTCGGGGCCTTCGGCCTCCTCGAGGGAGGAGGAGGAGCGGGGGATGCCCGCGGCCAGGCCACTGGCGGAGCCGACGCTGTCGCCGCCGTCGCTGCGCACGGAGTCCTGGTCGTTGCTGCGCTCGGAGGCGGCGCAGAGCTCGAGCGAGGCCCGCAGGCTCCACAGGTCGTGGCAGGCGCTGGCCTCGCCGGGGCCGCCCGCGCCCCCCTCGCCCGCCTCTAGCCTGCAGGCAGCAGCGCACGTTACAGCCCGCATCCCGTATCCCACATCCCGCGCTGCATCCCGCATTGCATCCTGCGTCCCACATCCTGCTGCATCCCGCATTCCAACATCCCACATCCCACATAGCATCTTGCATCCCACATTGCATCTTGCATCCCACATCTCACATTGCATCTTGCCTCCCACATCCTACATTCCCACATCCCACTGCATCCAGCATTCCCGCATCCCACATCCCACAGTGCAACCTGCATCCCACGTTCCATCACCATCCCCATCCCACTGCCCGCTGCCGGGCCACCCTGCAAGAGCGGCCCTGTCCCCAGCCCCGTCCCCAGCCCTGTCCCCTCTATCTACTGAAAAATACCTGCCGAGAGAGGCTGGGGGGCTGGCGGGCGAGGGCAGGAAGGCCACGGCATCCGTGCGGGCAATGTACTGGATGATGTCGGTCTGGTGCGGGTCGCGGTCCTCCTGCTCCATGCTCTCGCTGGCTGCGCGCTGCCGCTGGAACTGCCGCCGCTTGGGGGAGCCTGGAGGCGGGCGGCCGCGTTGGGGCCCCCCGCACGGCCCTGGGTCCCCACGTCCCCGTCCCCGCGCTGCCCCACCTCTGGTGTCCAGGCTCGACGCTCGCTGGGTGCTCTCCAGCTTCCACTTCTTGATCCTGAAGTAGGGGCTGGCGCCATCCAGGCTGGCGTGGCGGCGCAGGCGGGTGAAGAACTGCAGCACGGTGCCCTGCGCGGGGGCCGTGGCAGGGCCGGCCCCCCCTCCACCCGCCCCGGCTGCCTTCCCACTCCTGGGAGCTGCTGCAAACTGCAGGGACGGAGGGGCCGTGAGAGCCGGAGTGGCGCAGGGGGCACCGCTGCATCCCTCCCGCTTCATCCCGACTCCTTGGTCCTGCTGCAGCAGATGCACCAGTGTCCCCTGGGGCAGCGGACGAGGAGGAGGGGTCTGTGTGTGTGCGTGTGTGTGCATATACATGTGCATATACGTGTGCATGTGCATATACATGTGCATGTGTGTGTGTGCATATGCATGCACATGTGCATATACCTGTGCATGCACATGTGCATGTCGTGCGCATGTGCATGTCCATGTGTGCGCATGCACATGTACATACACACGTCCATGTGTGCACACACGTGTACGTGCAGTCATTTCCAGCTGGACACCCACTTCCCTCCCAAGAGCGGCCACGTGGAGCGGGGGCCCAGCCGGGTGGCCGGGGCTGCCCAGCCCCCCGGGCGGGCACTCACCGAGGGGCCCTCCCCGGCGGCAGCGGCGGCAGCCGCGCTGCCCTCGGCGTCCGCGGTGGAGTTGAAGGTGTCGCCGGGCAGGGCGGAGCTGGGGCCCGCGGCAGCGCTGGGCAGCGGTGGCGGCGGCAGCGCTCCCGCCGGCGGCTGCAGGGCGGGCACCGCGCGGGGTCGCATGAGGCTGCCCGCACCTCAACCCGCCCCCCGGGCGCCCCGTCCCGGCGCTCTGTGCCGCACCTGGAAGATGGCGAGGCCGGGCTTGGCGGGCGGCAGCCGCGGCGTCATGGCCAGGCTGTTATCGCTCGCCTCGCACTCGTGGATGGTGACGATCTTGAGGGTGGGAGGCAGGTGCAGGTGGGTCAGACGCGCGTTCTTCAGGTGGTGGAAGTCGCCCTCGGTCAGAGTGTACCTGCGGGCACCGTGGGGGGGTTACGGGCTGCCCCCGGCCCGCACGCTCCCGCTCCCCCCAGCGCCTTCACCTCCGGCCCTTCTCGTGGCTCTTCTTGCTCTGCTCGAAAAGCGCCGCCTCGTTGAAGGAGACGCGGCGGGCGCTGGAGGAGCTGGACGACAGGAACCGCTCGCCCTCCGCGTCCCGGTAGCTGGAGGACGACAGGCACTCGGGGTCCTCCACCTTGATGGTGATGTCTGAAGGAAGCAGGGGGGGTCAGCAGCGACCACCCCCCTCCCCCCAGTACCTGCTGCAGCTCTGAGCTGAGGCCAGACAAACTCACAGCACCCCAGCTCCCCCCCAGCCCTGCCCCTGGAGCTGGGGCAGGCAGCACCGTGGGGGCCAGGAGCAGGGCAGGGAGGGAAGTGGCGCCGGCTGCGCTCACCCTGCGCCGGCTGCGAGTCCTCCAGGTAGGTGGTGTTGGTCTTCTCGGGGTCATCGCTGGCTCTGCGGGGCAGGGGCAGGTTAGGAGCCCCCCGGGCCGAGGCGCCCCGGCCCCCCCGCCCTACCTGGAGTGGCGGCGCTCGGCCTCGCAGCAGCGGCGACACAGGATCAGGATGCCCGAGAGCAGCACCAAGGTGCCGCCGATGAAGATGGAGAGCAAGGCGAGCAGCAGCACGTAGCCGTCCTGGGGGGCCACGGTGCCCGGCACCGCCTGCGTGGCGGCCGCAGCCTCAGCACTGAGCCCCGGCCCCCTCGCCGGCCGCAGGACCCCTGCTCCGCAGCGCGGCCGCCCCCAGCCGCCCCCGGCTCCCCGGGGACCC